GTCGCTGGATGCAGCCGGATATAGACTAACGAGTTTTTGCTAATGGACGGATTCGTGTGCCGATGACAGCTTCGTGTCCAGCTATTGTCGTCTAAGACTGGAAATGTCACCGGAGTGGCCAGGTTTTGTTGCCAGACAATCACAGTTAGATAACAGCTGTTTCTTCTATTTTTCTAAGCGAATCGGCCTTATTGCCCACACAATTTCATCTTTCACAAATGAGAACTTTAACTTTCACCAAAAACTGGTGCATGGGATTTGCGTTAACGATACGGGTCGTTAGGATTCCCCTTAATTTTAAGTGGCACGGAATTGAGGTATTCGATGGAGCCCGGCCTAAATAAAATCGTAAAAACTCCTATTGTCCATTTCGTAATATCTGTAAAAAAACATTCAACTTCATTAAGTACTCCAGGGATTGCATCCCGAAATCAGTCAGCTGTGGAATTAGAGGGAGACGCCTCCATGAATTCCAATGAATTATTAAGAACAACAATATCGTTCGCGTGGAGCGTAGGGAGAGAAAGTATCCCTAGATATTTACTAGCGTATTATGCAGTTTCGCAGATGACAACTTGACATATGTAAATTAAGTTTCGGTTATTACACTTTAGCTTTTAAAATATAGCCATCGATCGTGGTTTAATGTCTCCCGCATTAAAACTTTTACCGGTACACTAGGAAAAAAAAAATCACATTTGAAAATCATACTAGGTGTATTTTTTGGTAAAGCCACAATGTCCCGAAGCGATGAATTCGAAGAACTTTCCATCCCACTTGATGAATTATTTGTCCTTTGTCTCGAAGAATCAGAGAATTAAAGGACAACGATTGTATAGGGCAACACTATTAGCCTATCAGTCAGAAAGAGGGACAGGCCCTACCGACCAGGGAGGTTTCGTGATCTTATCGCTTTGCTTGCTGGGTGTCAGAATTGCACGTGCAGATTAACCCCAACATGTACAACAAGATAAAGATAATGCCTCGGGGTTGGCTTTACACCCACACCGTCACGTGACACGAAGAAAGTGTTCTTTTGTCTTGCTGGATTCTGAAGTGGTCACTTCAACAATAGCCAGTAGGTGGGGCGTTTGCTTCCAGCGACATCTGTTGGCTGAATTACTAGTGGCTTCTTTTAAAGATTTGTGAGAAGGAATTCCAAATTAAAACTCCTAAAACTACTTAATCTTTCGAGTTTAAACATAACAATAATTCTCTTAAAGCACGTATGTATGTATATATATATTATAATTTATGAACTAGTGGAGAAAACTAGTAACACCATTCTGGAAAGAAAGAGAAGAACGAAATACTGCGCGTAATTTTTCTTTCCGAATTTAATTACGAATGTTAATTCGGTCAACAGATGCAAACATTAAGCAATTATCATCGAACATTTGCTCATGTCAAACAATAGCGGAGGTAAAGCGATGTACCTTATGAATTGCGTGAAAAAAAATATGGCCGTGCCAACAATAGTTCAGACGTTTGGAAAGACTAATGACTACTTACAACTGTCTTAGTTTGCTATGTGTGAGAGTAACCTCGATCAGGGCGTGTCTTTGTTCCATCCCTGTGGATGGCACTGCATCATTAATCTTGTCACCAGAATGAATGTACCTAGAGGTTTGGTTCCGGGAAACTAGGGTTAAAGCGTTTGTGTTAAAGAAGATAGACAGCTGTTGGTCCAACTAAGTTTACGAGCCACACAATTTTCCGAATCGATAATCTTTCTTTACATTTCTAATCCTTTTACACCGATTATTTTTTGCGACGGATAGCTTCTTTTTATTAGATATTTTCCGCCATCTTTTGTTTCGAAATGTAACTATTGCACACCAAAACAATGGGTCTAAAAGATTTCCAACACCGAGGTATTGTTCGTGATGCGGAGTTAGAAACAACAGGTAATTTTAGTAGCAAACTGCATTTCGTTAGGAATTGAATCAAATGTTCTTATGCTTTTTTTAAAGCAGAGAACGATCTTTTTTTCAATCATCAATCTCGGGACTGTCTCGAGTCTGTAGACAGCGTGGCGGGCCTCGTCTCCCGCCGGGATACTTAATGAAACGTCTTGCCTCGGGCATACAACATTGGAACGTAAAGCACGCTATGAAGAAGTCTCCACCAATCAGACGGACAGACGGTGCAACATGCATACCATGTTACCTGTCCTGCCAGACCAGGGTCAAATATTTTACTGGACTCTGCTTTCTTCTTCCTGAGGAACGGCGACATTGTTAGCTCCCTCATACTCCGAGTCGTCATTACACGACACGCTCGTCTGGAGTTTTGCAACTTAAAAATTCCTGGCGTGTTTCGCTCCACCCTTTGTCTTGTTTAAGTACAGATTTACTCACTCCGCACCACTTTAAAAATGCATTTTTCCTCCCTGACGTTCCCTCATTAAATAACGTTCTCATTGCGATGGAAGCAAATTTTGTCCCATTTTTTTGTTTTTGCAACCATCTCGATCAATCGGGTCGCAAATCGCCTTAATCATTTTAAATTTACCCGAAGCGTTTCCTAAATTCGATTTAAATCCACCCAGCACCGCATATTAATACAAGTGTGGTGCAGACCGCCAATTTCCGATAGAACGTCACAATGGTTGCGGCTATATTGTGGTCATTTATCACCGACATAACGCACTTTATTATACTTCCTTTTCATTAAACATGATTTACTAGATATAGAAGGCTTCGTCTTCTGATGAATGAGACCAACGACGCACCAGCACCCCGCAGATCCGCGTATTAGACGGACATTGTAATTAAATAACTAGCAAAGTCGAACACGTGCCGAGACGTATATTTACAATCGGGTGTTTTGATTAAAATCCTGACGTCATTCGATATATATGACAATGTTTTATCCACGCTTCCAAGGCCGAATGTGTCCCATCTTGGAAATGGAAAAATCATATTAAAAATCGTTAGAGGGGAAGGGCCGAACCGCCGTTGCTACTTCTAGTCGAAAATGCTTCTCTCTTTTTTTTAAGGAACCGAAGTTTTTAAAGGGCGGATTACTTTTAATCGCCAGAAGAGAACATCTAAAAATGGAAATATTTTTCGGGATTGTGAACAGAATGCCTCCTCCGACGCTTTAATGTCGAAGACGTAATTGCCAGGCATCTCCCGACCGATCATCAATTTCCAACAGCACTCCGCCCGCTGTCACTTTCACCTGGTCGCCGTGCTTCGTGACAAGACACGTGTAGTGTCTGATAACTTCCTGATGGATTACTCGGGTGACATATTTCTCTAAGTGTAAAAACGGTGCAGGTGCCTTTCTCGATTGACAATTTTTCCCCCAAATGCCAAACAAAAACAATACAAGCCTTTAGTTGGGGACGTTCTTATGGAGCAGACGGGGCTTATCGGCGCGATGAGTAAATAGCCCGGTGTCCTTTGGTCTCAATGAAGGCCTCGTAGGCGAGTCACGCGTACCACCAGCTGCCGTTACACTTCGGATTGACAGTTAGACAAAAGATATATAAGTCGCGACTTTACCAGGCAAGTCTGAAAGAACGGAAATTGAAATTTTCCTATTTTCTCCTTCCTGTACAGATGTTTGCTTAGGAAATGTAATAGTTTAATTGCCACATACGCAATCACCTTTTTAAAATCACTACTATAACTATTTACGATTTTCACTACTATAAACACCTTACACCGAATTTGAAGAGACTCCGCCCAAAGATGTGAACTTCCTAAGAGAAGTTCTCCCAGGACCATCGGCTCATAAACAGTCGGGGGTCTTCGTGTCTAATCTCGTGACCATCAAAAAATTTCGGACGTCATCTAATGTTTACATTAAATTATTTAACAGGAGAAATAATAATAATTCGACACGTGAGAAAGATGGCTCCATCTAAATTGAATCTGAACGGATAGTTTTAACGAATTATAAGAAAATTCATGAGTAAATGCATACCAGTCTGTGCCAGATGTTTTTGTTAAGAAATTGACTCCAATCTAAAATACAACTAAAATATTAAGTACTGTATTTAAATATACTCTTGTATATTCTAATTATTTTCACAGCATTATAATTTTTCTTCTTCCTAAAAAGGTTTATGTTTCATTTATTAAGAAATTGAATATCCGACGGAATAAAATAAATGTCAATACTTTAACCTTTCACCTCGCTTCGTTATAAATTGTCGGCCAATTTCGTTTTATTCTACTGCTAATTCGAAGAGACTGGAACGAATTTATACTTAATGAATTTTTAAAAGCAATTAGCTATTTTATAATTTAAAATATGAAATGATAAATTAGTAATATTTCCGAATGATCTATTTACTCCATTTTTTTTTAGTCATGAAACTTATTTAAATAATAAAACTCTTAAGATTCATGTTAATTTCCCGTTCTTACTATTTAAATAAGTAAAACAAATTATATAAAAATTCTATGAAATAATGCAATTTGAATAGTTTAAAATGAGGTTGAATTACATCATTTATTATATTTTAAATTTAATTATTTTTATTTGTCATTTATTAACATAAATGATGAAAATATACAATAATGTATAGCGAAATAATATATTCAACTAAACAAAATTCAATTTTAATCGTTAAACAAGCCAGTATATATACAGTATTAAACTGCATATATATATATAAAATTTTCATTAATTAATAAAGAATAAATGAATTTTTAGATAATTTAAAAGAATCTTTTCGTAATTTTTTATATTTTTATAATAAAGAAAGTTATTGAAAGAAAATCGATATATATATAACTCTGCCGTACATCTAATTACATTGTAATTAATTTTAAAAAATTAGTTCTTTATTTAACGATGATAGTGCTGTCTCCTGGACAATAGTTGTACTTGGATGATATAACTGCACTTATTTAATTCATAAAATTCGATCAACGTTTTCTAAAATGAGACATATTTTTGGTAGATATAGGATTACATAAAAACAGTGTAAAGTAACACAAAAATGGTACTTTGGACAATTAAAATCTTAAATATGAATCCGGATTTTCATTGACTTTTATTAAAAACACATGTTGGACTTAATTTTTAGGTCAATATGCAGTGAAAGTTAATGATTTTTCTTTTTTTTTTTTACTATGAATTTTGGAATAATACTGTAAAATATTTTACATTTTTCGTACATTGTTACTAGTCTTAACAAGACATTGGTCTAATAGTAATTTTTTAAAGTGGAATCAATGAATCACACCAAGTCTAATTCCTATATTTACAAAAAAGGCAGGTGCAACGTAAAGAAACATTGTGGATATACGATGATGATAATTGATGTTTCTTACTTGCAGTAGAAGTTGATGTTTAGCAATAGTGATATACAGAGTCTTTCTAAAAAAATAAATATACTGTTAGTAAATTATTATTATTATTATATATGCAAATTCATTAACTAGACTAGCAATAATGTATAAATTATAGAAATTTTTCATTAAATAATTAAATTATTCATTTTTTACAGTAAGTTGTTTTTCTTTAGAACTTTTAATGTATTTTAAAATGATGTAATCAGAATTTTTCTTTTGAATCAATCTACAAATAAAGAAAATTTTAAAATAAATTAAAAATAACTAATAGTTTATTTCTGTGATCACTGTTAGCCAAGCAATGAATTATAAATTGTTAAGAGACTATGCAGAGTGATCCAAAACTTGCTTACAAAGTTTAATGTTTTATTACAATTGTAGGACAACATACACAGATTTTACTCAAATATCCTCAAATGCCAATTTGAAGTTATTTACATTTTACATTATAATGATGTATTCAGTACATTTAATCTAAACTTCAAAGATCTTTGCATTATGGAAGAAACCAGCATGTATATTCACCAGATCCAAATCTTTCTGGCTTCTATTTTATAGATATTCCAAAGATAGTGTACTGTATATAAACCAATCCAATGACTTTAGACATAGCTCAAGTCAAAATATAAAATCTTCACTATTCCGAGGGATGTTCTTTAAAGTGTGATGTAAAACTCTGGAATAAGATTACATTGAAAACATGATGAACACACTAATATAAATGGCTTAAAATCAGCATTTGAATAATATTTGAGTAAGATCTGTAAATCTTGTCATTCAGTTGCAGGAAAGTATTAAACTTGATTTATAGATTATAAGGCAACTATATTGTATAAACAATTTTTTCAGTACTAAACAAATTTTTTAATAATTTAGTTTAATTAGAAACATTTTCTCTTAAGTAAATCAAATATTATTACAATTGCAAATTATCCCAATTTTCATTTTTATATTTTACTCATATTTTTTAAATTGCTACATTACTATAAGTTTTGAACTGATCATACTGTTTCAACAGAACATTATACAGTAATAAAATATTTACATTGTTTCAAACTATTACAATGGAGGAAAAGGAAACTTTTTAAATATAAAAACTCCAGGATTTTATTTTATACATGCTTTATTGATTGTTATTTGTTACTTAAGTTATTCTTAATGATCAACTAAATAAATTTTGATATTTTTCTCTAATATCAACTTAAAATAAGCAACACTACAATTATAAATACAGTAGAGCCTCGAAAACTCGGCACTCGATAACCCGGCACTACGGATAACTCGGCCACACCTTGGCAGGGCAAAAATACCCTTAGATAATTAATTTTCATCATAGACAGCTTTATGCCTCATAAAGTATTTTTCTGAGGTCTGTCTTATCAGGTAAATTACTGTACAGTGTATTCATTAATTTTCATTTTCATGTAGTAAAGGCTCTATGCCTTCATAAAGGACGCACTTTTCCTTTGTTTAAGGGTATTTGGGTAGTTTATTCTCTGTTGTATTCTCAAGCAAACAATACATACAAGTACAGTACAATATTTTCTGAGGAAACATGCATACTTATCCTTTTTTAACCCCATTCCCGATAACCCGGCATTTTCACAAACTCGGCCACCCTTCGGTCCACATTAGGCCGAGTTTTCGAGGCTCTACTGTATTACAATAAAATCTGATTAATTCAGAACTTACAATAACTCAGATTCATTTCCTTCAAAATCAATTCAAATGTGAAAAATAGACCAATTATATCAATAACTTATCATCATCAGATTGTAAATATAATCTTATGTTTATTTTAATTTTGAAAAGTTTAAAATTTTACTAAAAAAATTCAACTTTTGTATTTATTCTATCAAACATTAAAAAATATATAAAAATAAGTAATATAACAATAGTGGATATAGAGACATATGATGTATGTAGAAATATATAATGCATATTTGATTAGTGATATAAAATATTCTCTAATTAGATCTGGCAGATGTAATCAAACAAGAATTATTGTATTGCATTTCATCTGTATCTGTCAGTTGCCTCCAATACTTCCTTTGAATTCCTAATGCAGTTTGAATGAATGAAATATCTCTCATGCTGCATAACAGAAGATGAAACATAGTTACATAAATTCAAAGAAATAAAATAAACAGATGAAAACTGATTTGGAGAATAAAATCTCCAAGTCAGTTTTCTAAAATAAAATACAGTATCCTACAGAAATGAAGAAAGTTACTGCAATAGTTTTTTGAAAAAGGGAACTTATAGATATAAGAACAAATAAAGAAACATTATCAAACAAAACCTGTATGACAAAACTAACAAAAATTTATGCTCATTTGTAATGTTCAGCAACATAAAATATATAAAAGAATTTACCCCCTTATGACTTGTACACGAGCCACGAAAAATCATCATAAATTTGGATAGTGTTGTCAGTTATCTTAAGGATGCGCACACAGTTTTTTGGCTTGACAAGGCTCAGACCAGTGTGAAAAATCCAGATGCAACATTAAAAACATGTTTAACAAATGACATTCTTGGTGGATCCAAAATGGTCTGGCCTAATCAGGTTTCTTAATCAAGAATTCTTATCTAGCATATCATAATGATAGATGACACAAATATTGTGTATGTCTATAGCAACTTGCCCATGGCACATGACCAACAATATAAACAATATTTGATATTATATATATGAGAGTGATTATTTTAAAATCTAAAAGTTAAATTATTTTCAGAATATCATTCAGCTTTCTAATATGTTTGGCTTTAAATATCAGACTTTTAAGCCATATTATAATCAATATTTTGCTATCTTAACAACTTGTACTAATACTGAAACTATTTTATTATACTGAAACTCTAAAGATAAACAGTGAGTTCCAAATTTATACATTCTTTTATTCTTAGAAAATTAATAGCAGGCATTTGTTGCAAGCATGCAGATTCAGTTGAAATGTGCCATACTCAACTGTAAAGTCAATGAATATAATCTTTATAAATGACAAGAAAAAGATAATTTGAATAATTTAATAACAAATTTAAATTCTGCAAGCACACTCAAGATTTTCATATTTTATCAGATAAGCTGACAAGGAGAAGAAAATGAAACTGTTTGAATATTTTCTATTTACAAGGGGAACTATTTTAAAATGATTTGTTATTTTACTACTTTTGTTCATGCAATTTGTAAATATCAGTTGCAAAGACATAAAGTAAGTGATTTTTGTTCAAAATGACATAAGTATTTAAAAATTTTTTAAATATATTTCTTTCTTTTTTGATTTAATTTATATATATATAGATTTAAATATTAAAATATTATCTATATATATATATAAATGGACATGTGTGTCCCTATATTTCACTTTTCAGCCAAAACTACACATTGCACATGAATGGTGTTTGTATGTGATAGTAGCCAATGTTCCCTCTAAGCTGCGCGGCCGCGCACTGCTCAAATTGTTGCTGTGCATAAGAATTTATGTGCCGCGCAGGCAAGCATGCACACCGATTTGAATTGTTGCTTACTTATTTCTCACTCTGTCATCAACATGATTATTGCTTTGTATATTTCAATTAAATACATTAAATCATTGACAAGAGATAATATTTTGTATAAAAGTATGTTTAAAAATTAATTTTAATCTCTAATTTATAATTAATTATTTTAATTTTTATAGAAAAAAATAAGATTTTATGTATATATGATCAGAAAAATTTTTTGCTCAGAATCTGCTCAGTAAAAACTTTTTTTGCTCAGAGAAATATGTGTTCGGCTCATCCACAAAAAAAATTAGAGGGAACATTGGTAGTAGCCCCAAGTCTCCATTCGTGCACTATGGTGGTTGTGTCTCGATAGCTATAAGGGTGCAGGAGATATGGGGGCTTAAAGTGGTTGAAAGTGGAAGATTTTCTATTTTGATTTTAAAAATTTTCGAATTGGTTCGATTATAGAACAATTGTAAACGTTTCAGAAAATTGATCAAACTGAAAATAGTTCGTTTGACTAGACGTAAAAATTCTCTAATTAGTCTGGAAACGGGGGACCTAATTCTTGCATTCTGTGAAAACAGGTAAGATTGGCTATAATGTAATTATCTTAATCTTCACTATCGTTACTTTTTGCCCACAAATAAAAACCCAGCAAAGTGGGTCCTTGCAGTTAGTCAGATATAAAAAGACTTTGCTCTACAAAGAGTGATATTTCATTTACATTAATTATTAATAATTAAACAATAATAAAAATACAAGATTAACTTCATTTTAAAAAATAAATAATAATCTTTAACATTACTTATATTATACTTTATATTAGGATTTTTCAGTATTTTCTTTAAATCTATTAACAGAATATATTAAATTAAATAATAAAAATATAGATTTTATTATAGCTTAAAAAGTTTAAAATACTTTAATATAATTTTTTAAAATAATCAAATTTTAAACTATTGCAATTTGCAAAAGTTTCCTTATAAATTGCAATTAGAAATTTACAAGTACTTCATTTGAGCTATGCTTCAAAACAAAAATCAATATGTATGCTATAACATGCATCTCGATGTATGCCTGGAAACATCACTCCAATCAAAATATGTAGGTAATAAATTTAAGTACACCATGCATTGACATATAATCACCACTTTGCGGGCTCTCTTTTCACAGCATACAAATTGACAACTTGTCTAGGCATTATACAAAATAAAGGTCTTGTGGAATGCTGGCTCATGCTTCTTAAAGTACTGTCCTCAGTCAATCTTTTGTTTGGGGTTTGTTTTTTCACACCACCTTCTTCAAGACATGCCATAAGTCCTTGATTGGATTCTGAGTGTAAGTTTGGGACTCACTCCTTACCTGTTTTTTGAAAAACCACTTAGTAATGGAACTTGCAGTATGCAGCATGGCAAGATCTTGTTGGAAGATCATCTCCTTACAAACAAAGGTAAGCCACTGAAGGCAGGAAATGCCAGTGAAAAATTGGCTGATAGCACTGTGTATTGACAGTCATCACACAAAAGTAAATCG